TTAAATGGGCTGTTTGGTGAAATGTTATTGATCTCATAAGATTGATTAAGAGAACTGTGATCAGAGAACTCATTTTTTAGTTTGATATGTTTGTGTTCTGAGCTATTTGCCTCAGAAGGAAATTGATCCAATTCATGAGGTGTTTCTGAGCTGATTGATTTAGTTTGATAAAGATCGTTAGATAGTTCTAGCTTATCAAGATCAGAATGATTGTGATGTGTTTGATTAGTATTTTTTGATAATTCTGGCTTATTGGGCTCAGAATGAGTTTGATAAGTTTGATAAAGTTTGTTTGATAACTCTGGCATCTTAGGCTCAGAATCAGTTTGATAAGTTTGATAAAGTTTGTTTGATAACTCTGGCATCTTAGGCTCAGAATCAGTTTGATAAGTTTGATCTTCTGAGGAGGTTGACTCAGACAGACAATTTTTTGATCTGTTTGGATCAGAAAGAACTTTGTGATTAAGATATTCTGAGGGGTTCACCTCAGATAGAAATTGATAATTTTCTGATCTGTTTGGATCAGAAACAAAGTTATGTTTAAGATATTCTAAGGGTTTTACCTCAGATAAAGATTGATACTTTTCTGATCTAGTTGGGCCAGAAACAAAGTTATGATTACGATATTCTGAAGTGGTTGCCTCAGCTGGAAATTGATACTTTTCTAATCCAGTCAGATCAGAAACAAAGCTATGTTTATGATATTCTGAGGGGTTCACCTCAGATAGAGCTTGATAATTTTCTGATCTTTTTGAATCAGAAGCAAACTTACGTTTCAGACATTCTGAGGGGTTTGCCTCAGAACAAGATTGATAGTTAAGATATTCTGAGTTAGTAGCCTCAGATGGATATTGATAATTTTCTGATCTAGATGGATCAGAAGCCACGTTATGATTGTTTGAAGAGTAAAAGATATCACTAGATGCAGTGTGGTTGATTTTCGGAATGTTTACAGCCCTGGCAGGGAATTTTCCTGAAATTACCCAGCCAAGAAGTGTATTGTTAAGAGTGGGCAGTTGAAAACCTAATTTGCACACTCCTGGTTTGATAATTTCGCTAGTGATTTCTGCACCTAATAAAACATGCACTTGAGAAGGGATATTAAATTCTTTATCTGCTAGATTTGATTGTATGTGCTGAGGAATTTTTAATGAATTTTTATTCAAGTGAATTTGAGGCAAATGTGAAGTTATTTCCTCAACTACAGCAAAGGTTGTTGCGAAAAACATCGCAGGTTCCTGATTAGATTGAAATGTAAGATCTATAAACTCGTTAATTGCCTTGTTAGATTGACAAATACCTGCGACATTACACTTTTTGAAATAAGATTGAATGTTTAACTGATTTAATAATGATTTAGTTATAAAAGAAATTTGGCTTCCACTGTCCAAAAGTGCTTTAACTATGACTGCATGATTTTGAATTGATTTAAATTGAACTTGAGCTGTAGCTAGCAGTACATAGCTGTGTGTAGCAGTGGAGTTAGCAGATAAAGAATGTTCTAATTGTCAACATGTTTGATTAAAAGTTAATGTTTGATTTGCCCTTTGATTTTGATCCATCTTAGGCGGAGATATTGAACAATTGGATTCAAACTGTGCACTTGTTTGCTGCATTAACGGAGAATCCTGAGTAGCATTTGATAAAGATGATTCGTGTAATAATGAATTATGTCTTTTATTACAATAAGAACAATTTGATCTAGATAAACAGGTTGTGGCCGCATGATTTCGACCTAAACAATTAATGCATAATCTGTTTTGATTGATGTATGTTTGTCTATCGATTATGGACAATGATAAAAATTTAGGGCATGAATTAATCCTATGAGTAGATTCGCTGCACATCGCACAAGTTACTTTTTTACCTGGTGAATTGTTGATAGATTGATTGTTTATGTTTGATTGTTGGCTGTTGTTTGATTGATAGTTTCTGTTAGATTGATGGTTTGTGTTTGATAGTTGATTAGCAGTATGCAAAGACACTTTGGGTAAACTAGACTTTGTTGGTGAAGTCCTACTTTGTTTAAATTTCCTATCATGATGTGGGCTTCCCGGTTGTACCTCTGTTTGTACCGCTTCCAATACCGTACAACGTCTATTTAAAAAATCAAAAAGTTGAGCTGGGGTACTAAGAGAGTTTGGTGTTGCTTGCTCTTCGAAAGCTTTTCGCGATTGAAAATCTAGTTTAGAAGTTAGTATTTGAGTAATTAAAGCCTCAAAGAGCGTGTCTTGTTGATGACCCAAAGTGAGTAATGATTCATAGATAGATTGTGTATTTGTAATAAATGGTTTCAACGTGCTTAGGGAAGTTTTGGTTATTTCAGGTGCCTTCAACAGTTGCTGAAAATGGTTTGATAAAACTTGTCTGATATTGTTGTATTTTTAATCTAAAAAATTCAATGCAACTGTGAAATTGTCATCTGAAATCTCTAAATTCTCAATCAGTTTGAGAGCTTCCCCACTTAAATGTGATCTCAGATAAAAAAGTTTCTCCGAAGGTGACCCCAGATTAGAATTGTTCGTGATTAAAGCATTGAAAAGATTGATAAAGGATTTGTATTCTAGATTATCCCCTGAAAACTTGGGAATTTGAATCTCCGGAAGTTTCAGACGTGAAGCTGTAGCTGTAGTCTGAGACTTGGGAGTTGAAGTTACTATAGGAGCAGTTAGTTTAGAAAAAATCGAGTCTAAAGTTGAAAATAACGTGAAATACTTGGTTTCTGTAATTTCTCTGTCATTGTCTTTAGGCTCAAGATACTCAATTTCATCTTGAGCTTCACAATATTTGATGAAATATGTTTTTAAAGTTTCCAATTTTGATACTATTTGAATCTTATCAGTGCAATTTACGTTAGCTTTGATCCAATTTTCGACCCTGGTGAATTGTGACTTTGAAATGGATCTGATTTTCTTAAATTCATCGATTGATGCCATATTTAATATTTGTTACTGCTTTAATATCCTGGAGTCAACTTAGGAGTGAAAAACAAAAATGGTTGATAATGTTTTTTTTTTTTTTTTGAAAATCGCTCTAAGTTAAAATATCAAAAAAAAATTGGCGATACGGTCCCCTAGAACATTGTATTTCAATTTGCTAAGGAACAAAAAACTTTTTGAAAATTTTAAATAAATTTTTAACAAAAATCTAAGTTCCACAAATGCATAAAAAAATGTTTGACATGCAAATTCCTAGCAAATTGTGTTTAAATTTGCGATGTTTTACATAAAAAATGTTAAAAGATGTTTTACAAAAAAGAACACTTGTTTAACAAGCAAAAACAATCTTAATTGTTCCACTTATGTTAGTTTAAAGATTATACATTTAAAATTGTAACATACAAAAATTTGCCAAGTTACTATAGTACATTCTCGATGTTAAAATCACAAAAAAAAGTTGATATAAAAAATGTTTATGATTCTAAACTCACAAAAAAATTGATAAAAAATGTTTATGATTCGAAGAAGGCAAAGTTTATTTGAAGAAACACTAATAGTTTGTTAAAAAATGCTTGTACAGTACCTTACACGAAAGTTCCGCTTTCCTTGACATCAAAAAGTCGATCCGGCTCGAATGAGGACCATGAATAAAATATGAGGGTTTGTCTCATATTAATTTGATGTGATGTTCTATATTTCCTTCTAGGTTGCTGGTATGCCAAGAAATTGCGGGTAAGGTAACATGTGTGATATTATCAGGTTCTTCCTTGAGGTAATAACCCCTTTGCTCTTCTAATATTTCCTTGGAAAGGTATTTCTTCTTTGAGTTTAAATAAATGAAAACCCTTTAAATTGAATTTTCACTAGATTTTATTGAGATAAACTGAAAATGTTTAAGTTCGGAATAGTTTTACAAAAAAATGCAGGTTAGATAGTTCGATTCTTGATGTAAGTTCATTTGGTCACGTAAACAGATGAGAACTTGTCACTTAAACCTCACTTTTTCACTTAAAAGTCTTTTACGAAGTACTTTATACAGCTATTTAACAAAACCAACAAAATACTACGAGTGGAGATGTGTACAGTGTTAAGATTGGAACGCCACTCTCAGCTCTCGGTGCGCCCACGCTGAAGGAGCCGACAACGAGTATCCGGCTAATAGCTAACGCACCCAAGAGCCGAAATGAGTATCCGGCTAATAGCTAACGCAACCCAAGTGACGTCAAGCTGAACCGGCATTTTTCGAATATACAGGTCCGGCATTGGAATTTTATAATGATAATGTTCTGGTTAAATGTTATGAAATTTAACCACTAGTCATTATGGAAAATAGTCACCAACTTAGCGATGTTGGTCGTGTAGGCAGAAGACAATGTATAACATGTTACGCAAAAATGGTAGCAAGAGAAAGGAAGGTAAGTAGCACAGAGGAAAGCAACCAACACCTCATTGACATGTGATGGTTGTAAAAAATTCTTGTGCCTTTACCGTTTTTTTTTAATTTTGATATAATTTTGATATAATGTTACTATGTTTTGTTTTATGAAAATAAAACGGATTTTGGCTAAAATGTGTTCTTACTATGAATATATCACAAAAAAATATATAATTCCGCAATTGTTACTTATACATATTATGTGCCATGTCAGTCCTCGTTGACACCCCAGAAGCAAAGGCCAAGTATGATTTCTAGACCAACTGGCTGGACTCATAATGTCCCCGTGTATTCTAAATGAGTTCGAGAAGCCGCTGTTGAGCTACACAGCATTTTCTCATGACCTAGTTCGTGAGTCCACGTCGGCGTTTAGAAACTTTTATGTGTAAGTCTGTATTGGCCTCTCATGGCACTTAATCTATTAAATTTAAAGTTAAATGACATCCCGACTAGACTATATTATATTTAAAGATTAAGATCGACTTAAAATTATTTATTTGCAACAAGCAATGGGTACCTGAAATCGCTTAACTTTTAAAGATGGGAAGTTTTAACGGGCGATATGTATCTCTGAACGGAACTATGTATTACACTGCTTTTTAGTAAGCTAATTGGCATTGACGTACCTTTCCTAAAGCAACAGCAGTCGTTGCCATATCCAGAACAAAGCTATCTCCATCATTGGCTGGCACTCCAAGTGATATTGGATTTGTTCCTAAAGCTGACTAAAAGAATATTTTAATATGTCAATATTTCGTTAATGCAATAAGCTAAATTTAATTAATTTTTTTATTTTCATACCTTAGTTGCCCTAGTGGGAACCATTAGAGGGGAAGTGTTCGTAGCACTAAATCCAATTAATCCTTTTTTAATTGCTTGCAAGGCGTATATTCCAGCAATTCCGTAATGATTTGAATCTAAAGAAAACAGTGTCTTTTATAAAAAAATATCTTAACTAAAACCATTAAAAAATGTATTTTATAACCATCTGTGATCAAGAAACCACGAAACCAAGTTAAATCACAAGATCTAGAAAATATCTCAAGCAGAATTAAATTGTTTGATGGGGCTGTATGGCATATAGCACGGTTTTGTTGAAACCGCATATCCACATTAATATCATTCAATTTAGGTAGAGAACTTTATGATCATGTTGCGATATCGAGCATCAGTATCAGTCACTGCTTAACCAGCTTCATTTTTAAAGAAGTATGGTCCAATGATGCCTCCAGCCCAAAATCCGCCAGTGACGAGTTGTGGAAGCATTTTTTTTTTCGACAGTCAGATTTGGCTTCTAAGAACCCCAAATAGGGCAACTTTAACGATTAACAAAGGTGAAAATGTGCTTCATCGCTTAAGATGATGTTGCTCGAAAAATCAGCACTCACTTGTTTATGTTTAATAATCCATACGCCAAACTCTGTCCGCTGTGCATGGTCATTAGACTTCAGTTCTTGTGTCAATTTAACTTTGTAAGCAATTATCAGAAGTTACGTTTGCCCTTTTTTGTTGTACGGCTGTGAATGTTGGGCAATGGATTCTGACACAAAAAGCACATGAGTAAACAAAAAGAATTACTCAGCATAATCAAAGAAAGATATGAATTACTCCAAATCATAGTGGAATGTAAAGTGCACGGCAAAATATCAGTTAGGAGACGCCAGAACTCGTGGCTGGAATACCTGAGGAGATGGATTGGCCGGCCATAAGAAGAAGAAGGATAAAGACGTAAATCTTTAGTAAATATATGCTCTAAAAAGCTTCTTGAAATGTACAATTTTTGTCCAAGACGCCAAATCGATGTTTTTGGAATTTCACCAAAACTCCCACGCATGCTTCAATATTGACATTTAGCAGTTTTTTTACAAGACCAGTGTACGTAGCATCACCAATTGATCCAGTTTCTATAATTTTTTTATTATTCTCTTCACAGTTAACGACAACAGCAAATTTACTAAAATATAAATTGGAACTGGAAGGTCAGATATTAGAAAAAGCGATGGAGTTTAAATTTCTAGGCATCACATTATCAAGCTACGGAAAGCTCTAAACTGAAGTGGAAGATCAAGTAAATAGAGAGACCAGGGCCGCAGGCTGTTAAAATAAAACAATATGGAGAAATAAAAATATCGAGAAAAAAAATGAAAGGCAGAATTTACAAAACAGTTATCAGACCAATAATAACACATGCAGTAGAAACACGACCTAACACAGGAAGGACAAAAAGGATGTTAGAACAGCAGAGATAAAAACACTTAGAACAGTTGGTGGTACGACACTATGCAACAAAGCTAGAAGTACAGATACACGACGTTGATGCAAGGTGAAGAACATCAAGAACTGGGTAGGAAAGAGAAGAGTAGAATGAAACATAATCATTTGAACCGAATGAGAACAAATAGTGCAGTAAAGGCGGCAAGAGACGGGAAGTGGAAGATCAAATGAAGAGAGCAAACAGAGCCGCATGCTGCCTGTATGAAACAATATTGCGAAATAAAAATATTAGGAAAGCAATTGAAGGCAGAATTTACAAAAAAAGTCATCAGACCAATAATGACATACGCAGGAGATACACGACCTGACAGAGAGAACAAAAAGGATATTAGAATCAGCAGAAATGAAAAATTGATGAGAATAGAAGAGTAGAATGGAATGATTATATAAGCCGAATGACAACAAATAGATTAGTAAAGACGGCAAGGGACGGTTCCCCAATAGGAAGACGATCAGTAGGAAGACCACGAAAACGATGGAACGACAACTTACTGAACGCACATTGAAAAACAGACAGAGTCATGTCTTCATAAAAAGAAGAAGTAGAAACAGACGAAGTTAAATCAATATTACGACCATATTTTGTAAAATATTTTCGAGTTGTAGCCGCCAAATTTTCGTTATTTTTCAAATATTGGTCAACAATAAAAACGCATTGTTCTCTCTTGTAAATCACCATTTTTACTAACCCTAAACTGTCATCTGTCAAACTGTCTTTGTCTTTTTTGTTGCCAACATTTTTCTGCAAAAATAGCGGCAAACTCAAATATTGCGTGCATTAAAATATAAAACATTAATTTTGTCGAAGACTTCAAACTTCTCTGAGCCATTTGCTTATTTCTTATTTTAAACATCTTTTATCATTCGTTAAATGAACTCACCAATTAGTTACTATTAGTTACTATTGCCCATATTTCGCCACTAGAAGAAATACACCTCCGAAGTGTAATTTAATTTTAAAATCATAAAATAAATATTACATTTTTCATACATTTTTCTTTGGCATAACCAATTGTAAAAACGGTATTTGGAGAAGCCATTTATAAAAGAGTAAATAAAAACTATCCTCTAACGCCAAAAACGCTCATAATTTGTTGAGGTGAGGAGCTTTCTTGTAAATTCGAACCTGATACAACTTATCACAGAACCTACTAGATTTAGAATTAATAACCAACCTTCTACTTAAGATCTAGTGCTTATTAACGACTAACAGCTAATTTTATTTCTTGAAGTCAGTTCTTTTATAGCAAAGTCAAATCATGCAGTTATAACGGCTCACATCTAGTTCAATCAAGTACTACCCCGCAAAAATAGTATTGTAGCATATGCCACTACCGACTTTTCTGAAGTTAACAATAAACTCTTTCAAATTGACTGGCATTTATTTTTTGCGGACTTAAACGACCCTTTCATTAATATGGACTGCATTTTTCGATACCGTCCACAATATACTTTCTACAAATACCACCTTCCGTAACATCTCTAAAAACTTTAAGACAAAATTTTGAAGCAAGAGTTATTGAAAGTGGTAACATTAAAAAAGTCTACAAATACATACGATCCTCCTTAACGTCTAAAGTGTCCATTCCCCTCCAAAAAACCCAACCACAATTTATACTATTCTGACAAAGAATCTTCCGAAGCTCTCTCTTTAGCATTTTCACAGGTTTTTACTAAAAAATCGAATGGTGGCTATGTACCTGCTATTAACTGTAGTCGTGTCGGCTTATCCTCACAGCAAGTTCAATCCACAGTGGATTATGTCAAACAACACTTAATTAGACTTTGCACAGTTGCTTCACCTGGTTTAGATAGTTGATCACCAAAAATGTTAAAAAGATGCGCTGACACGCTTACAATACTCTTAATTACGTAATCTTCTTTTATCCAGAATGCCTTACCTCTTAGTTGTAAATAAGCATCCGTTACCCCAATTTTGAAAAAAGGTACCAAACTCGACCCCAATAATTATCATTCGATTAGCTTGCTGCCAGTAGTTGTCAAAGTCATGGAAGCCATTATTTCCGAGGAGATGGGCAAATTTCTTTTCTAGAAACATGTTATTCCAACACAATAACATCGATTTGTCCTTGATCGCTCTACTCTTACCAATCTTCTACATTATGTTAGCGACTGGACGTCATCACTTAACAGTTCGTAGCCGGTCGACGTTGTTTATCTAGATTTTTCTGAAGTCTTTGACCGTGTATCCAAGCGTAGACTTCTACATAAACTAGAACATTTCGGAGTTCGTGGTATTTACTTCGTCGGATAGATGATTTCCTGACAGACCGACATTACAAAGCTAGAGTTGGCGAATCTTTCTCACAAGATAGGTTAGTGAAAAGTGGAGTACCTCAGGGCTCTTTTCTTGGATGTTAGCTCTTTACGGTTTAGACCAGCGATGTTCCCTGATGATTATGTTTCAAGTAAAATATCGCTCTATGCTGATGACACTAAAATATGTGCTAATCCAATCACAAACCAGTTAACTCTCCAAATAAACTTGGACTCCATTTTAACTTGGTGTTCCCAGTGGCTACTACCATTAGATGCGGAAAAATGTATAGTGCTTTGAATTGGTAAAAATAACCCACTTGTGTCGTACGTTATTAACGGACAACCGTTAGATTTTATGTTTTCGTCCAACGACCTTGGTGTTATCGTAAACAGCAGCCTAATTTGGTCCGACTATATTACTTCTATTTGTAAACATGCAAACTACAAAACATCGATATCCTAGGCATCAGCGATACAAGATGGTCGGGTGCAGGCAACGTCTCGACAAGCAACGGTATGATCTATTTCTCAGGAAATTAATACCCACATCACAGATATGGTGTAGCAATTGTCGTTTCAAGAAGAATGACACAGTCTGTCACTAATTTTTCGCCAGTGTCAGACAGGATCCTGCTCCTACAACTGCATACAAAAACTGCAAAACTTAATATTATACAGGTATATGCCCCTACTGCAGATAAATCAGATGAAGAGATTGAGCAGTTTTATGAACAAATAAATCAAGTTCTAAAGTCTACAAAGCCAAAAGATGTTACACGTATCCTTGGAGACTTTAACTCCAAAATTGGCAAAAAAAAAAGCGGAAAAAATGTGGAAGAATATGGTTTAGGGGCAAGAAACGACAGAGGAGACAAACTTTTAGAGTTCTGTCAAGAGAATGATATGATAATTTCAAATACATTCTTTAAGCTACCCAAACGAAGACTGTACACATGGACGTCCCCTCAACACACTAGGGAAAAAACAATTACGAATAAGATAGATTATATTTTAATAAATGAGCGATACAGAAACTGTATAAGATCAGTTAAGGCTTATCCAGGCGCAGATGTTTCTTCAGATCATAACCCCCTGATAGCGCGGGTACACATTAGACTCAAAAGACCTTCAAATAAAACAAAAATAGATCACATAGATACCAGTCGCTTACAAGATCCAACAATTAAAGAAGATTTAAAACAACATATCAATGATAACTTACGAATGCTTTCTACAAAGACAGAGAACACGCGTGTAGAAGACAAGTGGCAAGATTTAAAAGACGCCATAATAAAACCTGCCCAGAAAATGCTTACCAAAGAGAAACAGAAAAAAGGACGAGAATGGATAACAGAAAAAAATTTTAGGTCTCATGGAAGAGCAAAGACAGTTAAAGGGAAAATGCAGCCAAAAATATAATGAAGTAAACAAACAAATCAGAAAAGAAATAAGAACTGCAAAGGAAAATTTTTATACAAGAAAATGCTAGGAAATCGAAGAACTACATCTCAAACATGAATGACACTTTTAACTTACATAAAAAGATAAAGGAACTGACAGGTACACAAAAACGAAAACATCCCAATCTCCTATGCAACGCAAATGGTGAAATAATAGCCGATCTACAAGAAAAGCTTAGGACCTGGAAGAACTATGTAGAAGAATTGTTCGACGATAAAAGACAAGAACCTAATATAGATAACTTGCAAGGCGACGAAGGACCAGAAATAACTAAAGAAGAACTATTATACGCTATAAAAATAATGAAAAATGGTAAATCGCCGGGTCCAGACGGGCTCACATCAGAACTTCTTAAGCTTGTGGAAGGCGAATCAGTGAATATTCTACTCGACCTTTTTAACTGCATCTACAAAAGAGGAGAAATACCAAAGGAATGGCTACTTTCAACTTTTGTAACCTTACCAAAAAAGGCAAATGCAAAACAGTGCACTGACTATCGCACTATAAGCTTAATGGGGCATACATTAAAAGTATTCATCAAAATAATCCACTCAAGAATTAACAGAAAACTAGATGCAGATATTAGTAATACTCAATTCGGATTTCGGAACGGGCTTGGAACAAGAGAAGCACTATTTGCACTTAACGTCATATGCCAAAGATGTCTAGATATAAACCAAGATATATATATATATATATATATATATATATATATATATATATAATGTGCTTTGTTGACTACAACAAAGCGTTTGATAAAGTTCGTCACGATCACTTAATGAAACTGCTAGTAGAAAAAAACTTGGATAAAAGGGACATTAGAATTATCTCTAAGATTTACTATAACCAGAAAGCAAATATCCGAATAGAGCAAGAGACAACGGAGGAACTCGAGATCAAGAAAGGCGTAAGACAGGGTTGTATACTCTCACCGACCTTATTCAATCTATACTCCGAAGACATTATAAACACAGCACTTTCGGATCAAAATATAGGTATTAAGATAAATGGCATCCGAATTAACAACTTGAGATATGCCGATGACACGGTACTAATCGCAGAAACTTGGGAAGATCTTCAAATACTAATTAACAAAATAGTAGAATGCAGTGAAGAACACGGATTATCACTTAACATAAGCAAAATAAAATAATGCTAATATCTAAATCACCACAAAACTTCCCTGACATAACCGTGCATGATCAAAGAATCGAACGTGTAAGAAGATATAATTACCTGGGAACTGTTATCAACGAAAATAATGATTGCTCTGAAGAAATCAGAACCAGAATAGAGAAAGCTAGAGCCACATTTACTAAATTGAAAAAGGTGTTCTGCGGAAGAGATCTAAGTCTAAAACTTAAAATTCGCCTTTTAAGATGTTACGTTATGTCAATTCTCCTCTACGGGATGGAAACATGGACATTGAAAAAGATCGATACCAAAAAGATAGAAGCATTTGAGTTGTGGATGTATCGTAGAATATTAAGAATACCCTGGACAGAGAAAGTAACAAATGTGGAGGTTTTGCGGAGAGTGCGGAAAGAGATTTAAAACAACATATCAATGATAACTTACGAATGCTTTCTACAAAGACAGAGAACACGCGTGTAGAAGACAAGTGGCAAGATTTAAAAGACGCCATAATAAAACCTGCCCAGAAAATGCTTACCAAAGAGAAACAGAAAAAAGGACGAGAATGGATAACAGAAAAAAATTTTAGGTCTCATGGAAGAGCAAAGACAGTTAAAGGGAAAATGCAGCCAAAAATATAATGAAGTAAACAAACAAATCAGAAAAGAAATAAGAACTGCAAAGGAAAATTTTTATACAAGAAAATGCTAGGAAATCGAAGAACTACATCTCAAACATGAATGACACTTTTAACTTACATAAAAAGATAAAGGAACTGACAGGTACACAAAAACGAAAACCTCCCAATCTCCTATGCAACGCAAATGGTGAAATAATAGCCGATCTACAAGAAAAGCTTAGGACCTGGAAGAACTATGTAGAAGAATTGTTCGACGATAAAAGACAAGAACCTAATATAGATAACTTGCAAGGCGACGAAGGACCAGAAATAACTAAAGAAGAACTATTATACGCTATAAAAATAATGAAAAATGGTAAATCGCCGGGTCCAGACGGGCTCACATCAGAACTTCTTAAGCTTGTGGAAGGCGAATCAGTGAATATTCTACTCGACCTTTTTAACTGCATCTACAAAAGAGGAGAAATACCAAAGGAATGGCTACTTTCAACTTTTGTAACCTTACCAAAAAAGGCAAATGCAAAACAGTGCACTGACTATCGCACTATAAGCTTAATGGGGCATACATTAAAAGTATTCATCAAAATAATCCACTCAAGAATTAACAGAAAACTAGATGCAGATATTAGTAATACTCAATTCGGATTTCGGAACGGGCTTGGAACAAGAGAAGCACTATTTGCACTTAACGTCATATGCCAAAGATGTCTAGATATAAACCAAGATATATATATATATATATATATATATATATATATATATATATATATATATATATATATAATGTGCTTTGTTGACTACAACAAAGCGTTTGATAAAGTTCGTCACGATCACTTAATGAAACTGCTAGTAGAAAAAAACTTGGATAAAAGGGACATTAGAATTATCTCTAAGATTTACTATAACCAGAAAGCAAATATCCGAATAGAGCAAGAGACAACGGAGGAACTCGAGATCAAGAAAGGCGTAAGACAGGGTTGTATACTCTCACCGACCTTATTCAATCTATACTCCGAAGACATTATAAACACAGCACTTTCGGATCAAAATATAGGTATTAAGATAAATGGCATCCGAATTAACAACTTGAGATATGCCGATGACACGGTACTAATCGCAGAAACTTGGGAAGATCTTCAAATACTAACTAACAAAATAGTAGAATGCAGTGAAGAACACGGATTATCACTTAACATAAGCAAAATAAAATAATGCTAATATCTAAATCACCACAAAACTTCCCTGACATAACCGTGCATGATCAAAGAATCGAACGTGTAAGAAGATATAATTACCTGGGAACTGTTATCAACGAAAATAATGATTGCTCTGAAGAAATCAGAACCAGAATAGAGAAAGCTAGAGCCACATTTACTAAATTGAAAAAGGTGTTCTGCGGAAGAGATCTAAGTCTAAAACTTAAAATTCGCCTTTTAAGATGTTACGTTATGTCAGTTCTCCTCTACGGGATGGAAACATGGACATTGAAAAAGATCGATACCAAAAAGATAGAAGCATTTGAGTTGTGGATGTATCGTAGAATATTAAGAATACCCTGGACAGAGAAAGTAACAAATGTGGAGGTTTTGCGGAGAGTGCGGAAAGAGAAAGAGCTGATCCTTACTGTTAAAAAGCGCAAACTACAATATTTGGGACATGTTATGAGAAGAGATAAATACCAGTTGCTGCAATTGATTATCCAGGGAAAGATAATGGGAAAGAGATCTATAGGAAGAAGAAGGCATTCATGGTTGAAAAACTTGAGAGAATGGTACAATTGCACCAATTACCAACTGTTTAGATCTGGAGCATCAAAAATACGCATAGCTTTGATGATAGCCAAACTTCGGAACGAAGACGGCACTTGAAGAAGAAGGATTTGTCCCTCTGCCCTTGCTTATGTATAATAATAATAAATAATAATAATAGCTGAGGAGTTGAACAGACCAAGACTTGGGTGAAAGATTGGAGCATAAAATTGGCCACGGTTGGCAATGACAGCAATTCCAGATGAAACAAAATAGGAAAATAAAGTCTCAATTAGGGCTGTAGTATTACTAATATTTAAAATAATGATATTTGCAAATAAAATACTTTTCCTTCTCTTTAATGTGCTTTTACGTAAACTTCGATGTTTAAGTGAATGGCAACTGCAATGATTGCCTTAATTTTAATATTAACTGTAACGATATAAAAATTTATTAATAAAGGCAAAACAAATTTACAATAACACTTTTAAATTCAAAGATTGCAAAATATAACAAATTGTACTATTTACTTATCAGCTTCATCTATTGTTTCTTGGACTTCTTCTTGATATTGTTGTAAAATTCTCTCTCCTTCACGAGTGTATGACGGATCGAACATTTTGCCTTCTGGATTTTCTTTGAATAAATACTCAGCCAAAAAATCAACTGGATCGTCAGGCTTCACTTTCGCTACTTCGATCAGTCCTTTGGACAAAGTTGGAAATATATACTTCATTAAATAAAATCTTAAAGGCTCACTCTGAGCCGCTAACAGCTTTTCTTCTTCTATTTGCAATTTCTCTAAAGTTTCAGTCCATCTCTCCATTTTATCTTCGTATTCTTTTTTAGCTTTTTTCTCCATAACCTGGCGTTCTAAACGTTCACCTTCTTCCAATAGCTTTAACTGTTCGAGCTCTAGCTTTCTAAGTTCGGCTTCTTCTTCCAACGTTAAACCAAAACCTGGTATTGGTTCCCCAAATATTTTATACACAAAATCAAAAATACTATCCAAACTCAACGGCTCGTCAGTATCTTCATCATAAATTTTTATTAGTATTGGGTGAATATTGGCTTCATCAAAAAATGTAAGTACAGTATTTTCCCGTGAGTCATATTCTCGAAATGCCGCCAGTCTCTTTAACATACCCACTTCATCATAATGTGTACCCCTAATTAATTTTTGAGGAAGTTTCATAACCCTTTCACATAAAAACTCATCTGAGGCTTCGAGACTTATTACATAATTAGGCATTATTTGTTCATTGGCGTTTCCTAAAGCATGTCCTAGCTGTTCACCTTCTCCAGGAATACCTCCTTCACCCGTAATACCCTTAGGAATCTCTTCTCTACGTCTACTGTCAGCAACTTGACCAAATAACTCCTTCGCCTGCTCAAAAGTTTTAGGGTATCCATCAAGAACGTATCCACGAGATTGGCACACCTCGTTAGCCAAAAATGCCTTCATCAGTCGCACTACAACCTCGTCTGGTAGTTTACGAGAAACGCCTCTTTGCATAGTACTAGTAATGTACCTAATTTGTTCTTGTAGATCTTCTATTATAGCTTTTATTTCTTCTTCTTCTTCCTCTTCTCCTGGAAATTCTTGGTCTTCATCGTCCGTAGTTTCCGTGTCTTGTTCTTTGCTATGTTTTGGTAAAAGCTTTTCAGTCTCTTTTGTAATGCGTGCTTTTAGATCTTCCAATGTTTCATCTATCATTGTTTTAACTGATATATAATGAGCTCCATAACGGCGACATATTCGTTCCGCCAATTTAGTCTTTCCAGATGCCGGCGGCCCATATATAATAAGTTTAAGCGGTTTTAACTCTTTGCGATGAAAACTCATTTTTTGACTTTGACATTGACTTGATACAACTCAACTGCTAAAAGTGTTAATTGCTTTAAATATCGCATAGTTGACTTAAGGTAACTTAAAAATAACCTGAATTGTAATGACATTTTTGCATTCCATCCGCTTTCGACCAAAACTACTTCCGCTACCACTTTTAAACAAAAAATATTACTTTTTGATACAAAAAATTTAATTAGTTTGAAAATTGTCTTAATTTTTTAGTAAATAGTTATATCTCTTTTTTAATTACTATAACAACAATTTCGTCTAATTATATATGACAAAAAAGAAGGAGATGAGAATGGGATATTAAAGACTGACAGAAAATCTGAGCAATGTGCCAGTTATATCAGAACATAGTAACATTATAAATATAATTAGGTATACCAAATGAATGATGATTTCTGACCAAATGGCATCCATATATAAGACTTAACTATCTTTCAAAGTAGATATTTGCCCACGAGAGGGATGACGCAGAGAAAACACTCGACCCAGAGTAAAGGGTTACACCTGGCGTACATACAGGTCTGAAACTGCAGAAAGGTAGGATACAGTAGTATTCGGTAGTAGTGTATTCAGAATCCTGGATAAGCTTCCATGAACAAAAAATACATGACAAGATCTACTTTTTATAGAAATAGTGACATAAATTATGATCTCCATAAAGCCGTCATGCTTTCACAAATCAATAGGTTTACTTGCAAAAATAAACAGGAAATGTACCAGAGGTGGAAAAATTCTGAATTAGGACAGGATCAAAAGGAGCTCAGAACGCAGCAGAGAGGTAAGAAATCAATGACGATACACTTTAAAGCGAAGGTCATAACTATTGACATAAGACAGATAAATGAGGCCTTTGATTTTCAGATTCGTAAATGGGGGAGAATGGAGATGGTAAATAAAATTCGTGTCGAAATAAAAACAGAAAATAGTAAAGACCTTAAAGTAAAAACCTTATTTCTTAGTAAGCCGAAATAAAGTTTATGATTTGATAGGTAAATGGTCGCCCAACTGAGTTCGCAATAAAAGAAATTACAAGAAGAGTATGAAGATTGGTAAATCCCGTGGTCCAAACCGTGTGCCACCAAAGGCGATATAAATGGTTGTTAGAGAGAAACCGGTTGTAGTTAGAAATGTTTTAAAGAGCTTCTCTACAAGCAAGATTTCTTAACCGAGATTAAAACTGGCAAAATTATTACTACTACTTAAACCCAAAGAAGACTCGGATGAAGCCAATAGTTACGGACCAATATGCTTATTAGATTGGCTTGGTTAACTCTACGAGTATCTGATAAAAATCGTCATGAAAAAGAGCTGGAAACATTAGAAGTGGTTTCCCAAAGAGTATGGATTTAGAAATTCAAGATCAACTTTCGTTTTCCTCCGCCAAGCACGTATTTCCATATTTCTCATATCTTTATCGATGCTATCATGGAACCTTGTTCCGGGTCTTCCTGTTGTAACGTTCCAAAAGAAATAACTAGGACCGGGCTAAATCAGCGAGAGGACTCATAGAAGAGACGGATTACCCTGGTAAAATTCTATGTGAAGAATGCCTTTAACACTACCAACTGACGTCATGTAGTAAGGAAACTAAGAATATCAGAATACCTGATAAAATTAATGAATATCTATATACCGATAGACACATTACAGAGGCAAAATTATCAGCAAAATTCTCAGGAGTACCGCAAGGTTCGATCCTGAGACCGGTTTGTGGAATATGTAATATAAATGGGGTCCTAGAACTAGAATACGAAAGACATGTAACAGAACTAGCTTAGGGCGATTCTGAGAAATAGTCAACAGATGGATGCAAAGCAATGACCTATAACTGGCGATCAACAAGACAGACGTAGTAATACTGAAAGGTCCCAGAGACAGAAGCAACCTGACTTTTCAACTTATAATAACATAAATATCTACAATAATATTACTATAATATAACAATAAAGCCGATAAACTGTGGTAAATCTTTGGGCATATACCTTGATACGGTATTAAGATATTTAAAACATCTGAATAATGTAGTTGAAAAGGCAGCACTAAGAACAGTCGCCATCAATAAGATAATGTAAAACACAGGGTAGCAGCTGCAAAAGAAGAATGTACTTGCAAATAGTACATTCTATCCTTCTATGTTACACTCCCCACTCAACCTTCTAGCAAAAGAAAGAGATATGGTATATAACAACGATAACAGGCATCTACCTCAAGTGAGAGCTGAGATATGAAACTAGATATTAGACATATGTCCAAACGAATGGGAAACACAGACAACGAAGATGAATGAACAAAAACGCTAATTCTGGATGTGAAAGCTATTCTGAATGTGATATTATCGTAGGATTAGAAAGGTAAATGCACTCTGTCAGCAATGCTGTTGGATGTACCGAGTAGCTTAACAATAGTGTTGTCAGTCCCAAGCCCGTATAAAGAAGAAAGGAGTCTTCAGCAAGATTATTACCCTATTAATGGACTATAAATACTTTGGTCGTATAGACAGGATTATGCTTCGAAACAAGACGGATTTACCGATGATGATCAATACGAGAAGAAGGAAAACGAAAAATATTTTTTGTTTCGGTACCTGGAACATAAAATCGTTATTCATAAGAGAACAAAAATAACCAAAAAACTTAAAGAGTAGAATATTGATATCTGTGAATTTCGAGAGAAAAAAAGGAAAAAAAGAAAAGGCCAAACTATGTTAGATAACTACTTAATGCTCTATAGTGGCGTTGCTAAAGAAACCAGAGCCAAAGGAGTACATTAGTACACCAGAAACTTGCAAACCAAGTAGAAAACTGTAAATATGTCTTAAAAAGAATAGTTCGCATAAAGACTAAATTAGACATCAAAAAATGGAATATTAAAGAAAAAAAAAAAGATTCTTGATAAACTATGTACTGAAATCTAAAGAGTATTGTTACGCCAGCCCCTTGCCTATCGAACATTAGTCCGGCATTCGATGACCTGTGACGCACAAGAAGGAATAATTGTGGAATAATTTGAACATTCGAAGCGACACCTAGCGGCATCAAGAAATTCCCAGGCATTGCAGTGGACACTTTAATTACAGATAAATTAAATTGTAGAAGCCAGCCCAAGAAATAAATTTGTAGTGTTAATTAGCAAATATTATTTATTGTGTTTTAAGTGTTAAGTATTAAGATACGTCACACTGTGATAATACTCTATCACAGTGTGACGAACTAAAATCACACAAGCATTTTTAATTAAAGTAACATATTACTTACGATGACACACAACTAGTCCTATTCCAGTATTTTCAGCTTTTTCCATAGCTAAATTCATACAATACTGTCCTACAACAGCACCAAAGCCGTTATTACCGTTTACTACAGCAGTGGCCACCGTTTCTTGATCTATTGTAGGCACGATATTGGGAAGCGTCAGTCCGCTCTTTACATCTTTAAGGTACATTTCTAAAATTAATGAAATGTTAAAATGTTTAATCTCTACAAAAGAACCACTATTCAACAAAACATTAATATCTTTTTCGTCTGTGGATTCTGTTAAAAAAAATTAACTCTTTTAAAGACAATTAGTAAATTACCGGATGTAAAATATTAGTGGAAAAGAACACTTGCCTAATCTATTCATTCCATGGCTGTAATGCCCTCTGTAATCGGCTTCCAGTAAGTTATCTGCTACTATTTCAGCATGAGTTTGATTACATCCAACCGCTTTAAAACAGTCTATCATAAAGCGTTTTGCTTCCTTCAGTGGAGTAATAATTTGTTTTTCTGAAAATGTTATTAAAAAATGGTTAATACAATCAGTTGGAGATTATGGCTTATTAGCTTTAACAAAATTTGTATATAGGTTTTTTACGAATATACGACTGTTTTGGATTATTGCGACAATGAATAGTTTACTGTGCAAGTAGAAGTATGAAAGTAAATTGGTCTAATCATTATTCCAATAAAAAGGATCTACTGTTAGTATGACATCTAAACTAAAATTATTTCAGTTAAATGATGTTCAGATGCCAATGACGTTTATGAAGCCAAATGTGTTTAACAGACATTTGGGTTGGTTTTCGGTGAAATGTAAACCCCAAAGAGACGTGCTGGGTTTCTTTAATATTACACTATTTTATTACTTTATTAGGTACTACAACTGTAATATAAAGAAATATACTATTTTTAATATAAATGAAACGAAATTGTCAGAGCAATTATTCAGAAATCAGAAAAAGAATCTGATATTTTACTTTGTTAGTTTTAAATATTTGTTTACTTTAAGTGGATGTACTCTTAAAAGTTCCGAAAGTAACGGGTATAACATACAGGCTATTGATAGCTAAAGTACGGAGTCGTTATAGATATTAAAAAGTAACGAAAATTTACATACAGTTTCATATATCGCCGGCTGATTTTAGTTTTAAAAACCGTCAGAAATTCATTTGTAATTTCCATAACAAGTCTCTGGAGAGCTATAAGACAAATTCGCTTTAAGTTCAAAAAGGAAGACAATAGAAAGGCTTTGTATGAAAGAGCTAGTGTCGTTTACAAAAGAACAGAATTTTTAAGAAATTATAATAAAAATAAAAAAGAATGTTCTTTATTCGTTTATTTAGACGAAACATGGATTTTTGCTAAAGGCGGTATTAAACGAATTTGGCAGGACGAGAATATAAAATCCATAAAAACATTGATAACGAGTGAAAGAGATATATAATAGTGTATTGAGGAAGCAGATCTTGTGTTTCCATCAAATTCAAAATCATACGAATACGGAGATGTTTGTGAAATGGTTGAAAGAAAAACTGTTGAAAAGTTTACATGAACCATCCGTTATAGTACTGGATAATGCTGCCTACCACTCGGAAATTTTATAACCAACAAACACCTGGACCGTAGATAAAATAAAAGAATGGTTAACGAAAAAAATAGAATGAAACCTAGAGCTAAGATTAATATTATTACTAAAATTAATATCAAACTCACCAGTCTTTCGGGTTGAACCGCGTCGATATTCATTTTGCCGAGCTTTCGGCATCCTCTCTAATGCCTTCCTCAGGGCTTCCGAGGTCTCAGTCTCCCGAGCCCCCAGACACTACTACACTGTTCACTAATCACTGCACTGTCACTACTGGCTATTACCATACATTACCATACTTTACATACATACATTACTTTACATACATTACATACATACATATATTACTTTACATACATTACCATACTGGCCTTAGTAGTGACAGTGCAGTGATTAGTGAACAGTGTAGTAGTGTCTGGGGGCTCGGGAGACTGAGACCTCGGAAGCCCTGAGGAAGGCATCAGAGAGGATGCCGAAAGCTTGGCAAAATGGATATCGACGCGGTTCAACCCGGAAGACTGGTGAGTTTGATATTAATTTTAGTAATAATATTAATCTTAGCTCTAGGTTTCATATATATATATATATATATATATATATATATATATATATATATATATATATATATATATATATAACACTGTTTTTGATGGGTTGGAGTCAATAAAAGGGGCTATTTGTTGACTATTTTTTACTCGAGCTTTCAATTGTGATTACAATTTTTATCAAGAGCTTCTAAAAAATACAAAATGTCTTACAAAGTTGAACTAGAAATAAAAAATTTTTTGTTAACTCACCAAATAAAATTAGTTTTTTATATAAAACTACTGCTTACATAATAAATACAAAAAATATTAATAAAAAAATGTCTTATTCTAACAAATGTTTCTCTGAAAAATTTAGATGAATTTTCTTAAAAAAAATTGAAAATATAAACAAATATAGAATAGCTACAACAATAGAAATTATACATAGCTTTGGACCTCGTGTGTTTAGACTACTGCCCTATCATTGCCAATTCAATCCAATTGAATTAATTTGGGGGATATGCAAAACATATTATAATAACCATAAGGCAGTCTTGAAAACATGGCAACAAGCATTGGATATTGCTTCTCCTGAAATTTGGGGAAAATGTGTAAAAAATGTGAAGACTTAATTGAAGAATGGTGGATCCGTGAAGTTCGCATCGAAGCAGTTTTAATTTACCATCCGAATGAGAATAGCGACGACATTGATTATGACTGTGAATCTGATGGTTGATGATAGTTTTAGGAGATTAGAAGAATAAGAGGATAAGTAAGTTTTTGTATTTTTTAAAACTAATTTAATATTCGACTAAATAAATTACACTATTTAATCACTTAAGTATTGTTACACTTCGTTTAAATCACTTAATTCAAAAACCAACTTGTTTACAATACTAAACTCAATGATAGTAATTATATACTTCAAAATCTGAATTACAACTGTTATATAAACTATCAACTCTGTATTTATATTATGACTTCATATTTAAATCTAAAAATTTATATCTGTCACAACGGTATTTTAAAAATGGAGAGAGTTTACTATTGTACAATTCAGCACATTGGACCATTTAAATCGATACCTTAAACCTAATATAAAACAGTCTTATATTCGTGGAATGGAGTATATCATTAAATATTTTATGTAAATATTTTTCCCCCATATTTTTCAACATGGAAAACTTTACCAATACTCATAGAATAATAAAGTGTAAACTCTAAGTATGGACGTTTAACGAACGCTAAGTCATATACAAACAGATATTAACCAAAGGAAACTGATTTTTTTAATATTGGCTTGATCCTGATGATTTAAACAATGTTTATGCTTTATTTAGAATCATACCAGATCTGTACCAACAGTATTCAACCCGCGTTCAATTCCTAACTTCGCACCAATTCGTAGCAGCATCCTTTGTGGCGTACAAAATTACGAGCGTGGTCAGTAATTCTTTACGAACTTACTGCAGTTATATAAGTGGGGTAACTTGATTCATAGCAACTTGATTTTATTTACGTAACTTTTTCTGCTTATTACATTTTCGTACTTTTGAAAATGACAGAGATTCGAGTAGCGAATTTGAATTGAACAACAATTTTGAACAACGATGCAAAAGTCTTTTTAAGATGAATTTACGAACACAACGTAGATAAAAGAACAGTTAAATCAGTTTAAATATTGCCGAGCGTTTGTTAAAGGTAAACCGCGTTCTGGTTAACGTTCTAGCATCAAAACAGCAAAAAATGTTAAAATGTGGAAAACTGTCGTCTTTCGATTGTGCAAGAATTAGAAATCGATCTTGGGAGTGTCAAAATTTGTGTTTCGAAAATTTAAGAATGACATGTGTGTCAGGAAGCTGATACACATGATTTATTAGCTGAAAAATCTACGTACGAGGTTCAACACAACAGCCACACATCTTTTCAGACCTGCACAAGCAAATTCACTCTACTTACAATTGTTAATAGTGGTGCAGAAAAATATTCGCCTAAAAATCCATTGACATTTGTAGATAATATAGAAAGTATACTTAAATAGAAGGCTTTTAATTATGATCCTGAAATAAAACATGTCTTCACGTGGACTTTTGTATCCAAGTGTTCATGTTAACTGTTTTTCAATGGAGTAAAGTGCCATAATATCGGATAGTTGCCTATTATCGGATAGATCCGTTCTAAAGAAACCTGTAATCTAATTAACAAGAAACCTATGTTCAGTTTAGCATGGAGCTAAATCCAGGTTGCCGAATAATATTTTAGCGTCTCTAGTAAAACATAGAGGGCACTAGAGTCACCTGAAGAACTTATTTAAACCAATATGGGACGTCCACCAGTGTTTTCCAAAGAAATTGAAGCGGATTTGGTCGATTATTGCCTAGAAATGGATAGAAGAGTTTACGGACTTATGGTAAATAACGTCGTAAATGTTAAATAACGGGTTGTTGAATTATGAGACCATTTATTTAAAACACTACTGTACACTCTTACAATGTTACTTATCTTAAATGGAAAAGTACTTATGTGATGTTGTTATGAGGCTTACTTATAATTATCAATACGCGATACATTAGCTTGCCATCTTGACGTTAAATTAGTTCTGATCCAGATAATGATTGTTGTTGCTTTTAATAGATGGCCTTGCCTGTATCAGCACTTTACTTATTAGTATGTTAAGTTTGTTCCTGGCCTACACCAAGCATATGTAGTGATTGTCAATAGTGCTGATTTACAAATTCTAATTAGGGTATATTATTTATGAATGTCCTCGATTCAAATTAGTTAACATATTTTATATAAACAAAATGCGAAACTATGTTACACGAGTTTGAATTATAATATTTTATATATATGAATTCTAATATTTTAGGAATAATACCACAGACTGCAATCTTCTGATATTCGAAGATTAGCCTTTCAGTTAGCTATTTAGAACAATTTGAAACATCCGTTTTCAACTTATCAGAAAAAAGGAGGTTACAAATGGTTGTGTTCATTTTTAAAGAGGCATCCTAAACTAACGTTTAGGGGACCACAGGGTTTATCAACTGCCAGAATTCACAGAAGAAAACGTAAATAATTTTTTTGAAATTTTGGAACCTGCGATGGAGAATGTGAAATTTAATCCCTGTCGAGTCTATAATGTAGATGAGACAGGTATAACGTCTGTACAATCAAAGTATACCAAAATAATCACCTCAAAAAATATGAAGACAGAATTGCTCAACAGCGCTCCACGAGGGGCAATAGCTGCCTGCCATGTATCTGGCTGGATTCAGAGTCACATTTTCACCAATTGGTTACAACATTCTATTAGCCACGTTAAACCAAGTGAAGCTGATCCAGTTGTATTAATATTGGATGGTCACTTTTACCAGACGCGGAACTTGATAAATTTGGCGCTCCAAACCCAAATTGGTCAAAATTTGGTTACTCTTAGTCTGCCGCCACGTTCTACTCACAAAATGCAGCCACTGGACCCTGCTTTCACGGGGCCTCTTAAAACCTACTACTCGCAGCAAATTAAAAATTGGCTAAGGAACAACCCTGGAAGACTAGTGACCTGCTATTAAGTTTGCAAATTGCTCGGAACAGCTTATGTAAGATGAGCTGAAATCGCTATAAATGGTTTTTGAAAGAGCGGTATCTGCCCATTTAACAAACACAATTTTCGAGAACACGACTTTGCCATTCACCTTTTTGCTACTTATTATCCCAAAATAAATTTCGCTCTTAACACTCGTTAAACTCGTCACAGTTAATAAAAATAAACCGTAAACAAGAAAAATGCCAATATAACACAGTCGTAACTGATATCCTAAAATTATATTTGTTAGTAAAATGCGTCTGTAACTGTGATATCTACGAGTATATTACGCAACAATTGCATATATGCAACAAGATAATATTTAAACTTAAATGAGAAACACAAAATTCTTTTAACCTCCGAAAAATTTTTGTACCGGTTAATGTTAAAAGTGGCATAGAGAAAATGCTCATGCAATAAAACTAAAAAAATAAAAATGAGTTCGAGAGGACGAATTAACTTATAAAATAGCAATATTTTAAATAAGATTAAATAATCAGAAAAAGTTACCGTAGTATAAAACACAACCACAATACTCATCACAATGGTATGTTACAATAATGCATGGCAAACTTATCCTGTAGAAAAAGTCCACGGAAATGAAACGCGGATTTAATTTATTAGTCTTTTTGAAGGCTAAATATTGCAATTTTGCTGGGCATATAAATAAAATTTAAACCATTTTCCAAAAAAAAAAATCACACTTACCTTTTGTTTTTAACACTGACATTTTTCTATGGCACAATTTTATATTGTTCTTCCTGATCAAGTTCGAGACGACTGGAACAGGTCTACAACCTACCAACAACTTTAACCCTGAACTCATATTTGACATTCCGTCAACGGCTAATCTAAAAAATAATTTAATCATCATACAACATTTATCGGCATTATGTCGCAACACATGTATGTATATATATTTGCTAAGATAAGAGAAATGAAGGTGAAACTTGTTAAGTCTTAAAGTAGTGGCTAAGCAACCACGATAACACAAATTTAATAAGTCTAAATATTTATTGAAATATGAACTGTTTAATATCATTTCCAACATGTTGTTGTATAAATTATGGTAATTAACCACGTTTTATTAATTAACTTCGGAAGTCCGATTTAGACGATTATATGCGTACTGATTTAACTTATATTATGTATATCCAAATATAAGATTAGGAAAGAACCCCTATGACAGCATCTACTATTTATTTAATCTTTTTCTTTTTTGTATCATACAAATTTCTCTGATGTTTAATACCAAAGAGCCATATTACCTTTTTGGCATTACGCCATCTTTTGTTTTTTTTTTCTATGTCCTGATATTTTACTCTAACATTTAATATATCAGAGATATTTAATATTTGCGGTCAATAAACCGCGGATAAGAGATAAGAGCGGAAGTACAAAAGACCACGGAAGAACCCGAAATACAGTTCTTCTACTACTTCACCTCTTCTGCAATCAAATATGGCATCACATATAATATCCCACTGACTGAACACAATCTAAAATCACAATACACGAAAGGTCAGCTTTCATAAATGCTAGTAACTTAATTTTACAAATCATTACTAAGACACTGAAAAGTTTCCAAATAAATAAAGAAATATTAGGAGAGCAGGCCGAAAGACTTGACAAATATTAGACAAATTAAATTAAGAATAAAGGGAATTCAGTATCAAGAAGCAAAGACGATTTATATTAACCAAAACATTTATTTCTTACAAGAATGTTAATTTATGCTCTAAACAGGGCATATAAGAATATGCTATCTTCTCTTAACTTTGCTCCTCAGTCATTAACATCTATCAGCTAAACCAAATACGCCCCACGTTGGACGACAAATTATATTGTAACAACTGCGAGATAGAGTCCATAATATTGTGACAATTAACTCACAAAAGGGTGGCCACCAATGTGTTAACCCTTACACAATATAAAAAAAAACCTTAAAAAACTTTAAGTAAAAAATTTTGGCCCCTACAGATGTCGTAAAATATTAAAAAAAAACACTTTAAGCTTATTCCACGTAACACTCAGTATATAAGTCAATATAAAACATCACTAAGTTGGAGTTCCACGTACCCATCAACTATGTTTAAATATAAACGCCATTAACCTGGAGATTCAGCCTTTTATATCTTAAAAAGCTTAAAAATGACTATATCCAGTTATTGTACAACCTTTTGAAGACTTCTGTAGAAGGGACACGTGGTTTCATTGCTTCATACTCATACTTCATATTCAAAGGCTTTAACTAATATTCCATATTTTAAAATTTTACAAGAACTAATGAATCAGAGGACAAGGTTAGCAGATAAACAACAGGGTATTCGTAGTGAAAGATCATGTACAGATACAATATTTGTCATAAAGCAAATTTCTGAGAAATCACTAGAGTATAATAGACCAGTATTTCTGTGTCTGATTGACTTAAATAAAGCATTTGACAGAGTAAGGCTCAAGGATATAATCCATCTCTATTGAAAACATCGGCCAAAACAACAAACCTATAGAGATAGGCAGCGGAATAGGACTCATTGAGCTATGCTTTTCAATTTAATCATGGATGAAATCATCAAAAGAGTTATTTATTTAATGTATGGCATTTCTACACATCTACAATATTGCAATAAACATTACAATAAACGTTAAAATTGACTCGATATAAAAATACTTAAATCATGCACTTGTAGGGCAAACGTCGAGGTTGTTTATATAGTGAATTGACTCGGATCGTCGCATGCAGGAAGTCTTGTGAACTGCCCTCGTGGGCACGCTGTGTGTCTAATGTAACCATCCTCCGTTATGTGCTTGATAGATTGGAGCTCGCCGGAGCTGCATGACGGTGATGGTAGCTTGCCCCATTTGTGCAACATATCTGTACATCGACCATGTTGAGTTCTGATGCGGTTAAGTGTGCACCAGGTAATACGTCTTACTGGTGGTATTGCTATATTTGGTTGAGCTGTCGAGCATTCATAGATAAATTTGTTGATCATGTTAAACCCTGTAACTGCGGCTGATTCTAAAGTTTATATTGGAGATTTTCTAGAGCGCAGTGGACTTGTGATTACATCTTCTATATAGTTATTAATCGCCAGCGCCATGATGTTTTGATCTTGTAACAAGATTAAAAGCGTTAACAAAGAAGTAAAAATACTGTGTTATGCAGACGACGCAATATTGATAGCTCAAGATGAAGATAGTCTGCAAAGACTGGTGTACATATTTAACATAAGAGCAAAAGTTATAAATATGACAATCTTATCTTAGAAAACAAACAATCGTAATCAGCATGAAGACATGAAGATAAAATGAGACCTGGACAATGAAGTGAGAGATCAAGTACAAAAAGCAAATAGACTGGCAGGATGCCTTAATAACACTATCTAGCGAAACAGACACATTAACACTGAGATGAAGTCAAGAATTTATAAAGCCAGTGTAAGAATAATAATGACATATACCTCAGAAACAAGACGTGACACAGCCACAACCCAAAGGCTACTGGCAACGGCGGAGATGAAAGTATTGAGAAGAATTAATATTAATATTAATTATAATATAAATAACAACTCGCCGACGGCTGGGCGAATTGAGTAGTTTAGCTGCCATGTTGCCGGTCCCAAGCCCGGATAAAGGAGGAAGGGGAAGGAGTAACAACCTCGTAAAAAAACCAGGGTTCATCTGGCCCGGATGATAGCACCCTGTGAGAGCCCCTGCCTAGGGTACAGGCGAAGCTGCTGCCTTGTAGTTAGATGCTAAACCATCAAAGGCTAGAGGAAGAAAACCTCGACGACAAACCACCCGGTCCTCCAGGTTGGGGGTTGAGGCATTGGGCTAACTCCTCAATACTCAGAAAAATGTACAAATGTTAAAAAGCCAAATCTACAGCCTCGGAACGGATGGAATAAAACACGACGACTTAAGCTACGAAAATGGATTAAGAATATAGGAACATGGAATGTACGGGGTCTCTCTACAAAACTCAATGAAGTAATGCATGAAATAAAGAAGCTCAATATGGACAACCTGGTGTTAACAGAAACCAAGAAAAAAGGTACAGGGTCAGAAAACTTAGGGCATTTCGACCATTTCTATAGCGGCATATCAAAAGAAAAAAGAGCACAACAAGGAGTCTCAATAATTATTCGTAAAAGCCTAAGAAGATATATCACCACTTGGAAAGCCATAGATGAAAGACTAATTAAAATAAACCTCAATATACATGGTCGTAAACTAACAATAATAGGTGTATATGTAGTTAACGATGATGCACTGGTTAACAAGAAAGAAGAATTCTACGAGAAACTAAACCGAGAAATAACATCGATAGGAAATACGAGGGAATTAATCCTGCTTGGAGATTTTAATGGCAGGGTCGGAAAAAAACAAAACTATAAAATAGTTGGTCCTTACGGAGAAAGCATAACAAATGACAATGGGACCAGACTTATCACAATATGCGAACAGAACCAGCTCCGTATTACAAATGGATTCTATCAGCATCGAGAAGTACACAAATACACCTGGGGACAGAGAACAAGGAATCTAAAATCTATAATAGATTACTTGATTGTACGCCAAAGATCAAATATTAAAATCTACGACGTAAGAGCTTATAGAGGCGCAGTTTGTGGAAGCGATCACCATTTCTTAAAAGCAAAAATAATGTTTTCAATGAGAAGCCAGAATGAACAACCAGTAGTTCGCTCAGAGATGGCAGAAGATGTAAGATATAATCTTATCAGCCTAGATCAAGATAGTGTAAAAATATTGTATCAAAACAGACTGAACGAGAAACTTGAAAACATAAATTTCAATAACATCGAAGACCACTACAATTACATTAAAGAAAGTGTTCACTCTGCATCAAAAGAAGCGCTTGGATATTACGAAAAGAAAAACAAAAATACTCCATACTGGTGGGATGAAGAAATAGACACAGCGATAAAACAAAAGAAACAAAAGTATGAACAATATTTAAGTGCAAAAACAGATACAAATTGGTCTGATTACAAAAACCATCAAGCTAAGGTGAGACAAATGATAAGACAGAAAAAAAAAATGAATCCTGGGATCAAAACTGTCAAAAATTAAATACGTACATAGGAGGAACTAGAAGTACAGAAAGCTGGAAACTTATTAAATCTCTTAGGACCAACGACAAGAAAAAAGATTTAATCTCACAAATTTCGTTAGAAACATGGGACATGTACTTCAGTAAACTGTTACAAGAAGACCGAATGGAATTCAAAAGAAAAGAAAGTAACCAAAACATACGCGTTGAAGCATCTCCTATAAGAATCACGAAAAAGGAAGTAAGGGATATCTGTATTTCACTCAAAAACAAAAAAGCGCCCGGACCTGGCAATATACCCTCAGAACTGATAAAATATGGAACTGAAAAACTATATGAGCATTTGACAATACTCTTTCAAAACTGCATAAACAAAGTAGAGGTTCCAGCCGAATTTAAAACCTCAACCATTTCAACTTTACAAACAAAATTGCGACAATTACCGTGGAATAGCAGTTACTAGTACCATTAGTAAAATCTATGGGAAAATGATCAAAAATAGAATAGAAAGAGAATACACTGATATGGAGGCAGAAAAACAGGCGGGTTTTAGAGCTGGTAGATCGACCATAGACCACCTTTTTTGTATCACCCAACTTATAGAAAAAAAGGTTGCTGTAGTTCAAGAAGTCCACTTTTTGTTTGTTGATCTAAAAAAGGCCTACGATAGCATCCCTCAAAATAAGTTATGGAACACTCTCAGACAAACCAACATCAACTCAAATCTTATAACAGCAGTGGAAAAACTATATGAGAACGCCAACGCCAAAGTTAAAATAGGAACGAATGTTTCCAAAGGTTTTGTAGTAGACAAAGGACTTAAGCACGGATGCTGCTTAGCGCCGACACTTTTCAAAATATATCTGGAACAAGCATTAAAATTCTGGAAGCGGAAATGCAGTGGCATGGGTATACAATTAAACAATAACAACCTGTACACTCTATGTTTTGCTGATGATCAAATTGTGATTGCTAACGAATATGACGACCTATAATACATGACTCGAAAATTAATCGAAGAATACAAAAAATGGGGATTAGAAGTCAACATAAATAAAACAATGTACATGAACATCGGTGGTAAAGAACAAAATCTAGTTTTAAACGATGGACAACACATTAAGTACAACAATAAATATTCCTATTTAGGAGTAGAAATCACAGACGACGGCAAATCAGATCAGGCTATAAAAAAACGAAACACTCAGGGTAGAAGGGCCATATCTCAACTAAATAGTATTATCTGGGATCAACATATATCCAAAAAAAATAAACATCGAATATACAACACTATTATAAAGAGCATAGTAATGTATGGAAGTGACGTGTGGCAGTTAAAGGCAACTACTGAAAGAACACTACAAGCCACGGAGATGGACTACTGGAGACGGGCCGCAGGAAAATCAAAACTCGAAAGAATTAATAACGAACGTATACGAGAGGTTATGGGAGTCACACATACGATTGTCGAAGATATAAGAGTAGAACAACTAAAGTGGTATGGACATGTGCAGAGAATGCCAGAACATCGTCTGACCAAACAGATTATAGATTGGTCACCACATGGAAAGAGAAAAAGAGGCCGACCCAGAAAGAGCTGGAGAGAAGGAATAGACAGAGAGATCCGAGAGAGAGGTTTAGACGAAGATCTTTGGGAAGATCGAGATGAATGGGGATTGGGCATCGGAAGACGTCGGAGGACGTTTTAAACCGATTATATATATATAATATAAATAACATCCGTTATGCTGACGATACAGTCAATTTGTGATACTGGGGAACAATTTGGTTTAACAATAAACATAAAGAAAACAAAAACCATGGTTATCAGTAAGACAGGCAAAGTCATTACAAGGATCCAGATAAAAAAATGAAGATATTGAACAAGTGGAAAAAATGAAATACTTAGGAGTCTGGATTACGGAAGATCTGAATCCGAAATCAAAAATTCGCTCAAGAATAGAGCAATCAAGAGCAGTCTTTTGGAAAATGAGGAAAGTTCTGAGTAACCAATGACTCGATCTGCAAATCCGATATCGGATGGTAAAATGTTATATCCACTCTATTATTCTTTACGGTGTCGAAGCCTGGACTGTTAATGTTGACTTAATGAGAAAACTGGAAGCTTTGGAGATGTGGCTTTTTAGCAGAATTTTAAAGATACCATGGGCCGATCACATTACAAACGAAATGGTGTTGCACAGAATGGGAACAGACAGAAAACTTTTGACCCCTATTAAAAGGCGAAAGATAGTATATTTAGGGCACATACTTAGAAATGAAAAGTACGAGTTGTTGCAGCTGATTATGAAGGGTAAAATCGAAGGAAAAAGGGGTCCTGGTGGACAAAATAACCTGGGTGAAAAACATTAGTGACTGGACCAGGTTAAACACACAGACGCTTTTAAGAAAAGCAGAAGATAGAGGATGGATTTGCAACGGTTATAGCCAACTTTCTTTAGTGGAGACAACAATAGAAGAAGAAGAATTAATAATGTAAATTTAATGTTTAATTTTAAAAATTACATATTTGCCCCATATTACTTTTATTAAATTAGATTATGCGTCCAAACTTAGTGTTACGCAAATCATAATCTATTATAAATAAAATAATACTTTCCATAACAAAAACACATGTTACAAATGCATATAATAAAATAACAATTAATTATTAATACGCATGATGATTGACTTCATATTAAATGAAATTTATAAATCATAAAAGTTTTTAATTTACCTAGTAAATAATACTTACAAAAACAGTCAACAAATATTTCTTCAGGTTAACAGGTTAGTAATAAACTTTTAGCTAAAATATAACCATCTCGTTTTATTTTTCACACTAGTCGTATGAAATATATCGCGCATCTTATCTATATTTGCGATATGTTTTAGATACTTCAGTAAATGAAGGTTGAAGGTCGCAATAATAGAGTATGTTTACAATAATTCCCAGGTAATAACATCTCTCAGCGAGTAAACTCTATAACCATAAAATTGACCACAACAACGAAAAATAAAAACTAAGAATGAATTTTAATAAATTCAAATTTTGGATTAAACGATGTTTAAACATGGTTGACCTTCCAATTTAAAATACATACGTGACGTCAAATGGTGTTGCCGCATTTCAAAAATATCATTAGAAAAGTAGCTTAAACACGTTTCGGCTTCTTTTCAGTTGGATATAATTATAACATAATACAATAGATACCTTTAAAAGGGGTATTAACGAAGATGAATAACAGATATAGAATAATACGATTAATGATAGAATATTTAGAATAATTATCTAATAAAAGGAAGAAAAACAACTTTGAATTTAGTTAAATATCAAACAGAAACAATCCTCCGTTGGGAATTCTGGCTGAGGAATATTTCTGTGGGAACATTATTCTAGGTTAGAAAAAATACACAGTTAAGAGTAACAGTATGCATTAAAGTTTGTACTTAATAAAGAAATGTTGAAGGTCGTGTGCGAGCGTGTGTTATATCAATGTGTGTTTAAGTAAATATGGATAAGATAAAAGAAAAGGCTTCTACGATCAAGTAGAATATCAATAAGATGAGAAAGTCATAACAGAAGGTAATGTGAGTCAATCCACGATGTTATATGAAGTGATTGATACATGAAGACTATCTAAGGATGAGAATAATACGTTTATCGAACACAAAATTGGGAAAGTGGACAGTCAGTTTTGAGAATTCGGGTATATTTTTGAACATTAAAGAACTGAACGACCATTGGTTGAAGAAATAAGGGTGGAAGGAGAAATTTGGATGTTTGGTGGATTTTGAAAGCCGAGAGGAATTTTATCTGTTGCTATCCTTAAAACAAGGAACACCGAATCCTAAGAAGTGATTGAGTGCCGGTAGTTGTGAACGGCGTTAAAATTAAATTTTTGTTGTGTAAGTACAAGTTTAAAGAAAGTGATAGCAGTTCTGGTCTATAAATGCTGATTGGGAGAAGTTTCAGTAGGTAAAGTTTTGCTGTATTATTAAGTACAAACAAGTTATTGTTCATCGGGAGAATCATAGACAAGGAGATTTCTGCTAACCGAATGGGATAGAAAGTATTTTAGGACATGTGATCTAGATTCCGTGTAAGCACTCCAAAACAAGTAGTTTAGGAGTTTTTGGTAAACGAATAACCGTATTTTTTTAAAAACAATACTGCAGAGACATAAAGGTAAAACTAAACAAACAATAAAATTAATTTGTAAGGTTTTCTTTTGTCAATTTTTTGTAATGTAGTATCTGTTATTTGTTAAATGTTTTCAATAAATTTGCTAAAAATATACATACATTTTAAAATCAACTACCAAAAATATGTTCTTGTACTCTCGATTGTATTGTTCATGCTTACTACTTTTATCGGTAGCTTTACTTTTTCTACAGTTTTAATTATAGAAGGTAATAAAAATGCAACTTTAATTATAAATACCTTTAGCATTTACCTACATTTGATAGGTGTGGTTGATATAGAGAAGTAATCAACTTAATTAAATAATAGTAGAGGAGGTATGTTATAAAAAAATAAGTGTTTCAGTTATTCTAAATACACTGGGGTGCAAAATTAACGGAAAACTCAGATTTTTCCTAAAAACTGGCGTTTAAAAAAGTTGTTCCCAATTTAGTATTTAATAATAAATAACATTACAACTTATGAATGTTACACAGAAAAAACAATAAACAATTCAAAAAATTTGAAAATCTGCCAAGAAACAATTTTTTTTATGTAAACATTTTGTATGAAAAATGATATTTAGTAGAGTGTATTACCTCTACGAGCACTAACTACGGCTCTTTAGGGATTTGCTCCCATTCGTCACGAACTGCTTGCTCCAAATCATTCATGGTTTCAAACTCACCATGGTTACTTCGAATACGTTTTCTCAGAATATCCCATGCAAGCTCGATTGGATTTAAGTTTGCACTTCTTAAGGGGCATAGTAATAAACGAATCCCAACTTTCTCCAAATAATCCTATGTTATTCTTGCGATGTGCGAATGAGCAATATCTTGCATCAGAGGAAAGTTTTTTCCGACAAATGGGACAAATAGCACTACATGATATTCCAAACATTTTTAAATATACCGTTGAGCATTCAAATTGCCCCCTCAAAGTGTAATAAGTTCTGTATGAGCCTCTATAGAAATGCCTGCCCAGAACAATATGCTATATATTCAGGGATTCTACAGTGTTCACTGGCTTCCCTCGCTCAACCGTTTCCATCTCTCTCTGTAGTTTCATTCTCCATCTATTTCTCGTGGCGTCGTCTACTTTGTTCCTCTAGGATCTTCGGGGTCGTCCCCTTTTCCTCCTTCCTATGGGGCTCCATTTGGTTATTCTCTTTATCCATCTGCTGTCGCTAGTTCTTCTTACATGTCCGTATCACTTTAGTCTTTTTTCTTCTATATATGTTAGTATGTCTGTTTCTATTGATGTTCTTTACTTTATTTCATCATTACTTCTCCTATCCATCCTTGTTATTCTGCAGCATCTTCGCAGGCATTCCATCTCTGTTGCTACTATCTTACTTCTGTTTTTCTTGTTTTTAATCCAACAATATACTACGTGCACCAAATTGAACTCTCGGAGTGAAACAACATTCCTGATAACGTTCACCAGCTCTTCTTCATATCCTAGGCGTCATATCTGATAAGTATGTCTAAATCTTGATTTATCCATGAAAAGCACAGTACTTTCATCGGTAACACCCCAATTAAGATGTTCGCAAGCGAAGTGTAAACGTTGCATCCGATAATCTGCTGTTAATAGAGGTTCCGTGATAAGTATTCTGAACCTTAATCTATATTCATTTAAGCGTCTTTGAACGGTATAAATGGAAACTGTAGTTCTATGGACAACATTTAATCGTTGAGCGATCGCCTAATGCTTGTAACACCTATTCCTTTACCTTGACATGGTCACCTGGTGTATTTCCTGTTTCCCGAAATCTTCTGCTACTTTTTCTGGTGTCATAATTTTTTTAATGCAAGTTTTAAAGAAGAGACAAAACAAAAACCTACAGCCGAACTTGTAATCAGGTATAATACCACAATAGACTTAAATTAATACTAAGCCAGATCTTCTTCTTCTTTTGGAATCATAACCCTGGAGAGGTCTTTGCCTGGCTCTGGCTATGTACTTCCATTCAGATCTCATATCTCTCTTGGGCGCTTCTTCTCTACTGTCTTATATTCATGGTCGTGTTCCACGTTATCTAACCATACCGGTTTCCACTGTAACATCTTCTTTGCCGTTTTCGTGTCTTCTTGTCGCTGAACATGTTCCAGCCATGACAGTTTTTGACTTGTCACAAATCTTACAATGTCTATTCTTCATTTAGTTCATTATCCTCGTCGTTTCTCCTGATTCTCCATGTGACGTCTTCCTCTTGCATCGGTTCATATACTTTTCTCAGTATCTTTCTCTCGATTGTCCTGAGTTGGGTTTTTTCTTTTTTCGTCATTACCCAGATTCGTTACTACGGGTCTAATAAAATATCTGTAGATAGTCATTTTAGTTCTTTTGTTCAATTTTTTATTAGCATAGTATATGATAGTTGTCTATTGATATAATATTTTCATTCTCAGGTTTTCTTTTGATATTCATGTACTTAATTTTTATTCCGTTTATTTTAACCCCTTTTTTGTGCTTCAGGATCAATTTCCTTGAACGTTTCCATTAGTCGTATCTTGATTCTACTAATAAGGTGACATCGTCGCTTATGCAGTAATTTTTACTGTTTTGGTGTTTATATGGCCGGTTACATTGGTTTTTCTGATGATTGCTTCAAGAACTAGGTTGAACAGCATGGTTGAAAGTGCGTCTCCCTGTCTCACCCGCATGTGGATGTCAAACAGGAGAGACAGTTCTACTGTGATCTACTCCAGCTGCGGCTGTTGAACCCTGCAACGTCATTTTTATGAGGTTAATATATTTTTTGTATACCTAGATTTCGGAGGTCTTCCAGCATTTTGTCTCTTTTTACACTATCAAAAGCTTGTTTAAAGTCTATATACATAATATATAGTTCTATATCGTATTCATAAGTTTTCTCTCATAAGTATGAATATATTGTCTGTATTGGCTCTATTTGGTCTGAATCCATTTTGATAATCACCAATTATATTTTAGGAGTATTCTGACAATCTAGTGTAGATAATACTAGAAAGAATTTTGTTTATTACATTTAGCAACGTAATTGGTCTGTAATTCTGGCATTCCTCCATATTTCCTTGTATGGGCAGTTGTATAAGACCAACTGCCCATTCCTCCGACATTTGCTCTTTGGTCCATACCAACTTAATCAGGAAATGGATTCTTCCACACAGTTCAGGTCCTCCATATTTTAACAATTCTGCCGACACTTTATTATTTGAAATACTTCTTCATAACTCCCATTTTCAATGTGCTGCTCCGCGGTTAAATATATTGTCTCGTTTTGATCTTTTCCATTATCTGCCTTTCGGTTTTCCTCAAAGTATTCTTTCCATTTCATGATAATTTTTTGCTTCTCTTTAAGCAGTTCTTCGCCTTTGTCTTTGTATATTGTCAATTTTGGTCTAAATGACTATGTGCTTTCTTTTATTCTTTTATAGTATTTTCTGCTCTTGTGTCTGTTGTTATGTTCTAGGATTTCTTGTACTTGTTTTCTCAAAGCCTCTCTTTTTTTTCTTCTGCATATTCTAGTCGCTTGTATTCTCTTTTCATTATAAATTTCTCTACTATTTCACATTAATGCCAAAACGTATGTGTAAAAGTGTTGTTGTTTGCACAAAACATTTAAACAGGTTCAAACAAGAAAAAACCGTTATCGCTAATTAGGCATAAAATACAATTCAAATAAATTAAACAAGTTTTGATCTAAACTTCAACAAAAATCATAAAAATCTGAGTTAAAAAATTTCGTTAATTTTACACCCCAGGAGGGATTAAATAATGCTACATAATTTTACAAAATTATTACCTGTGTAATTGGATACAACTTTTTGAAAAAAAGGTT